TATGTCAAAGGTTCTTTAAAGAAGATTTTTTACAAAATGAAACCAGGTGAAACTAAAACTTTTCCACTTGAGGAGCTCTGGATAGAGCACATTGACAGACGACAACATTTTCTTTATCTTAAATGCAAAAAATGTAGATATATTTTTTTACAATTTTGGTATAATTGTTGCTCTTAATGTGTTGCTCTAAAGGCTTTAGTTAAAGATTAATCAGTTACTAAATTAGTTGACGACTATTTCAATAATCAATTAATCATGATTATTCTGATTGTTTTTGTTTGAGCCCTAATATATCAGCTTATAGTGGTCACAGATATAGTAATCAACTGCTTATATAGATCAAAATGCCTGGGACAAAATAATTTCTATACAAATGCTGTTTAAATAAATCGTTTATAGTAATCAAGAAAAACTTTGACCTTTTATATCGTTTTGAAAAAGAAGTGAACTCGGTGTTGGACAACACTCTGATCCAGGGAACCATGGATAAATATGTGTAGTGATTTCTTAATGCGGTGCAGCAGATCCGCAACACAAAAAGAGGTAGGCTAGCTTTAATTTTCTGTAGCCTATTATCTTCTATGTTGTTGTTCTATGAAACTGTTTGTTTCAAACTTTATTTTCAGACATGTTAAAAAAAATGCACCGGCGGCACAGCAGGGCCGACACACAGAATAAGTTACAGAGGCATACTGTAGCCTATTAGAGTTATGGCTGCACACTGCGCAGTACTCTGCTGTGATTAAGCATTTGTTTCAAACTTTATTTTCAGAGTTGTTAAAAAAATGCACCGGCAGCACAGCAGAGCAGACACACAGCACATAATAACTTACGTAAGCTACCAGAGTTATGTCTATGTACAGCGCAGTATACTGTAGTTAAACTTAAATAGTACTGTAAAAAAATTCAGTAAATGCGGAGGCTCTCCGTTACATTTAATTTTTCTCATTGAAAAACCATACAAATGGCATTTAGATTACATTTGCATAAAAAATAAGGGAAATAAACAGTAAATTCAGTTTTAGTAATCGACCGCTTATAGTGTTCAAACTGTTCACCACGATAAGCGGATTCCAATGTGTATATATAACCTGATATATCGGAATAAAAAAAATATAAAACTTGTTAGTGTGAGTCTGTTTATGCGAAACCTTACGACTTTTATACTGTGTCTCATGTTGATTTGATTATAAAAGATTATAAAAGTATCAGAATAGGTTGTCTAAAATAATCCTTTTCAGGTCAGATTATACAGAGTATAAATGAAATGTATAACTGAAAGTTACACAGACATATTTTCTTACAATTTTACATTGCCATATAAGATCGTTGTCATCTTAGAGATTATTATTAGAGATTGTTATTCTGAAAGATAGACAGATACATTGGCTGACCAATATTTATTGCCAATGTTAGCTCTTTTTTTTTTTTTTTTGTATCAGATAATACGTGACATTTTGGTGTCATTTTTTTTATGTAAGTGGAGGAGGGGGGTGCTATTTTGGCTTTAACAATCGGACCAAAACAACCAGCAGCAAATATCATGGATCAGGTAGACAGTTACATCAACAACCAACTAGACAGCTGTTTTCCAAAAATGTTAACATCAATCAGGTTTGCTGGACAAAATTATCATTTTTGATTTCAAAAGGTCATAAGTTACTACTTAACACTTGATGAATTCAGCACATATAAACTCATCCCTACAATGACTGAATGAAATGTTACCCTTTGTTACATTTGATAAACTAATTACATTTAATAAATATGGCAGTGTAGATTAAAAAAAAACAAAGTCAGATATTCTTGAGGGTTTAAGTGCCCATTAGGCAAATATTGGTTGCTTTCAAGAAGAAGTTATTTTTCTTTTTCATGTAACCTCATTCCTATAAATTGTGTTAAACACATGTTCATCACTCAGAGAAATAATCTACAAAAGAAAAGGAAATCTGGTCCAGATGGGAACGGTTTAATCAATGCAGTTTTTGTATGATGTCCTTTAAATTTGGATGAACTATTGTGTTTTGTTTTTTTTTTGTTGTTTTTTTATGAACAAAGAAACGAGTGCTCTATAAAGTTGAGTGTTTCTGAAAATATTTCCAAATTTCTATCAAAGAAATGCTTAAGTCAACTGATAAAGTGGTTTGAAGCAGTACATTAATTTATGCTAAATGAGTGTTTCATGCAGTTAAAGGTGCTGTTTGGCCTAATTTCTGCCTAGATCTCTATTCTTAGAGGACATACCCACCAGATTTTACATCGCTGATGTAGATAAAAAGGTTCTGCAAATAGTGTATGGATATGTTTATTAACGTACTCTATTTTTGTAATATTACAACTTTTTTCTTGTAAAGTTATGACTTTATTCTCAAAATAAAAAAAATAAAAAAATCTCTAACCTGGCACTAATACTCCATCCTATTTAAGGATCATTTTGCTATCTGATAATTAATTGATTTATCGAAAAAATAATCAACAGATTAATCCATTTGAAAAATATTCCTTAGTTGCAGCTCTATTTAATCTACCCTTTCATATTTATGGAACAGGATTAGGGCCACTGGGGGAAAAAAAAGTTAACTAATCTTTTTATTTTCTTTCAGTTTTATATGTTAAAAAATGTCAGACATTTTTAGATTAAAGTCAGAAATTCTGAGATTAAAAGTCAGCATTCTCAGAAAAAAAGTCAGAATTCTGAGAAAAGGTCAGTATTCTGAGATTAAATTCCGAAATGCTGAGATTAAATTTAGAAATTCTGAGAAAAAAAAGTCAAAATTCTGAGAATAAAGTCAGAATTCTTAGAATAAAGTCAGAATTCTGAGATTAAAGTCAGATTTCGGAGAAAAAAAAAGTCAGACTTTTGAGATTAAAGTCAGAATTCTAAGAAAAAAGTCACAATTCTGACTTTTTTTTCGATATTAAACTGAAATAAAATATTAAAATCAGCAGCCATCTGCCTTACATATTATGCTTGAAATACCCCGATCAAATAAGTTTTTTTTTTAAACAGCTGCAGTAGAACCCCGAATCCGCACTTTACGAACAGTCCGTGAAGGCAGCAGCTGCGATTCACTCGAGCACGCGGCCATTCACAGTTTCTGGTCCCTCCGGTGACTGAATGACCAGCCAGAGCTGAACTCATTCTCCCTTTTAGAGCCGCGTTGAGCTTTTATTTCCCTTTCATTGAGCCGGTGTAGAGTTAAAGCCCGGCCCGTCGGCTCCAAACGATGCTGCTGAAGTTGGAAAGTAATGAGCGAGGATGCTGAAACTGCTGGCAAGCCCGCTTTGTTCGGAGGAGCGCAAGGCTTCTGTGCCGCTGTCATTCCGCAGCTGGTTCCCTGCTGCTTTGTCTTCTCCTGGCCCGGTGAAATTGACCGGTATGTGAGCGTCCTTTTTCTTTTCTTCATGAACACAGATAGGTTTTAGTTCTGCCTTTATGTGATGAAGACGGCTCTTTGTTTGTGAAGAACTACAGAAGAAAGCGATGGAGGCTGCGACCTGAGTCACATCCTCCACGGGACTCTGCTTCCTTTGTTGTTAAACAACATGCAGCTATAAGGGGACATTTTACATTTGCTGGTGAAAATGTATTTAATTATTTGCTATAGATGAGTAATTGAGTAATTAGTTTGATTCCCCTCTTTTAAAGCAGCCTATTTGCCTATTGCTGTGTCAGTGTCAGCAGCCCCTAAATAATTGATTGGACCCTCAACCCTCATGACTCTCACCTCCTGCTTTTAATAGACTGCCTCTTACATCTTTGTCTGAGCTATTCTGTTTTAGATAAGTCTATGGACTTGCTCTATCTTTTTAAAAGCGTGTTATTAACCTGTGTCTTGTTTATTTATTTTTTTAACTAAGAGAAATTGTTTTTTTGTTGTTTTTTTGGCCCTCAGGAGCTGAAAACAAGAAGGGAAATATTTCAGCTAGACTACTTTATTTTGGCAGCGTGAAATCTTGGCTGTTGTAGGTCTGTAAAGCTGTGAGAAAGATGAGCAGATCAGCATACCTTGTGTGAAATATTGCCTCTTCGGTTCCTTTGTTCCCTCCACCCTGCTGCATTTAGTTATCGGGCTATTTATATTCCCCAATTAAGTGTTTTTGAAGCATCGAAAGTCATCTTTGGCGGTGTTCATGTGTTAAATATCACCTCACAGAAGTGTAAAAAAATTGTGCAATTTTTATGATTAGCTTCGTTTCAGACGTTTTACCTGAAAGACCTGAACTAGAAGCTGAGGTGCGTGCATGCATTCCTCACATTTCTTCCTTTTTTCCTTTTTTTTTCCTGTGGTGACCCTTTCTCTTCAAGGACATTGCCACAGCGGATGCACATATTTCTGTTTGCAGTGATCTGGATCTCAGAGAATTTACGCAGGAAGGCACAGTTTGGTTTTTCACAAAAGATCAAATGTTTTGTGTGTAGAATTTGCACCATAATGTCAAACTGATTTTAATCCAACTTTATTTTAAAAGGGCCTTGTGTATATCTAGTCTTTTCTACCTAGATGGACTGTTGGGGAAACAATCTATCTTAGACTCTGTATCAGAGGTGTGTTTGCTTCACGCTCAGCTGTCCTCCTTTCGTTTTATCACCGGCTTGCTGATCTTGCTTCATCACAGTCTGTCCTGTTAGTCCTGTCTGCGTCTGCTCACCCAGACAGTGAACCAATTAGCCGCTCAATCAGTCTGGTAGGCAGCCCTGCACCCTTGCTTTCCAACGCAATTTGAAGTCCACCAAAATCCAGGAAGCCTTTTTCTTTTATTGACCAGCCTTTCAGCTGCCATTAAAACCTATATTTATAGCGTACAGGTTTTGTTTTCATTAAATTATTTTAAAGAATCAAACTCAAAAAGTTTTTTTTCATATAAACATTTTTGAGTTTAGACTCTTCTTTACTGGTTAGGGCTTCTTTAGAATAGAGGTGGGCAATTAATCACATTTGTAGCCTAATCGCAGTTTCACCTTTTAGTCACCTTCAATTATTTTAATGTTATAATTTTTACTTTCTGATCTGAATTCCTGAAATAAACCAACTATTTTAAGATATTCTTACACTGGAAAAAGTATAACCTTGATCACTTAAAAAAATGATGTCCAGATATCACATCTAAAATATTTGACTTCAAGGAATCTGAATTTAATCACTTGTTATGACCTGATTATTTTATGTTGATGTAAACAATAATACTGCATTTGACCCAACTTAAAATCTTTACCCTGTTACAAATGATGATTTTCTTAACATTTCAGTTGATGAACCAAACTAATATATAGAAATTGAACCAACCTAATGTACTTACTTTAACTACATTAACATGAATTAATGTTTGTATTGACACCAGATAATTGATTTAAATATAACCAAATTATAATTTTCCCTCCTGCTCTTTATAATACTGGGGGCTCCCGCTGCCGGTGATAGCTGGGTATCCAGCATTTTATAGTTTTTACGGCACTAGTGGTCCGTTTTTATGGACAGTAGACTGACAAGAAAGGGGAAATGAAAGAGGGGGAGAGACATGCGGGAAAAGACCACAGGCGGGATGCGAACCCGGATTGCCCGCATCAACAACTAAAGGCCAATTTATGCTTCTGACGCATAGCCTCTGCAAACATCAAATCTGTCTCAGTGCGCGATTATGCCCCCCATGCAGAGGTTCTGCAACCATCGTCGCTCACCTCAAAAAAATCCTGACTATGCGTCGGATGCTCGCGAACCCGCGCAGACCTCAAGTGGAAGTGCGCAGACAAAAAGCAGCTGTGATCGGTCCTTGGTATGCCTTTCCGACTGTTTGTGTGGTCGTCCTTCTCGATTCGGTGCCGGGGCGCGCCATTTTTAAAAACCGAGGAACAACTACAATGGACAACCTAGGCGTCCTGCTTTGTCTTTTTGCCAACTCCATTAACAGAACCTGTTCCTCTTCGATGTCTAGAAGCTCTAGAGCAGGGGTGCTCAAGTCCAGTCCTCAAGAGCTACTATCCTGAAACTATTTCATGCAACCATTTTTAACACACCTGAATCAAATAAGTGGCTCGTTACCATGCCCCTGCTGAGCTAAATGAGGGGATTGAGGCTTTAGATTCAGGTGTGCTAGAGAAGAGATGGATTTAAAAGTTACCGGATGGTAGCTCTTGAGGACTGGACTTGAGCACCCCTGCTCTAGAACCATCTCCGTGACCATGATATCTTGCAGACGCGCCATTGCTGTTTTGGAAGATAAACACTCCCGCCAGTGCCACCGATGTTCTCGTGACCATCAGCCGAAGTTCTCTCGAGTTCTCGAATATGCTCCACCTTGTGCTTTGGTGGGAAACTGCTGTGGTCCCTAGAAATTCCAGACCGACTGTTCAGAAGCATACCAGCAAAACTGGTTCGCGACCAGACCGTAGCAACATTTGATGTGTGCTGTTGCTGAAGTCTAATCTGCGCTTAAGGCCTCCATACATGGGTCGTATGCGCTAACCACTTCGCCGTCAAAGCACACTCCGGGTATCTAGCATTTAACTCAAACAAAACTCCACTCTGTGCCTTAAAGCAATGTTTGTTTAGCTGTGGATGTAGCCCGGTTGAATGAGCTAGGGCTTTTGGCTAGCTAACGTTAGCAATTAATTGTCATAACGCCGTCGGTAAATGCATAAACCCNTTGAATGAGCTAGGGCTTTTGGCTAGCTAACGTTAGCAATTAATTGTCATAACGCCGTCGGTAAATGCATAAACCCTCTCAAACGTCAGCTAGCAAATATTAACTAGTTAGCCAGCCAGCTATAACATTGATTATATGCAACTGCTTTGCTACTTGCGTTTATTTATAAGCAACCCAGGATGTAGAGACGACAAAAATGGCGCTCTCTCACTGTCTGGGACTTGGACTTGATCACCTGCTCTGACTGCAGCATGCAAAGCGCAATTCACATGTGACTCAAATGAATATATATACATATTGAGAGAAATCAATATGTATATATAGAATGTTCGCTTTTTTCAGTGTATTTCTTGAAACCAAACTTCTTGGAGCTTAAATATGTGCATGGAAACAAAAGTTTGGAATGATATTTGCGTTTATTCCGTTATTGAAGGTATTGCTAGTTGAAAGGCTTGAATATTTAGAACGTTAAGGGTGTTTTTATTCCGTGTAAAACTGTTCAAGTGTAAAGTGAGAGTTCCTGTTTTCTCCTGCTTCTTGTGTTTCTTCCATTTGTTGTCTCTCCGGTTTTACAGTGGATAGTTATCATGTTTCACTGCAGCTTCTCCCAGGAGAGCCAGCTTCTCTTCATTAGTAGGACCTGAATGTGTTTTTGTCGTAAACGCTCTGTGCTGCTGATTAAATTGTCAACAGCAAAGCTGCAGATTTACTCAGCAGCGTACAGTAATTAACATGAATCTAGGGAAGGAGTCTTTATTATAAAATAACTATTAAAATGACGTTTGGATTAGAGTACGTTTTTTTCTCATTAAGGACATATTTTGTTTACTTTCTTTGGTATTACATCATATGCTAGTATTTTGTAAATGTTTCTGTCAGTGTGGGAATAAGGCTTTTTTTTTTTTACAGATATAAAAACTATGATTTTATTTAAGAGAAACGGCACAAAGTTTGTGGACATGCTGTGTTAAATTAGAGCCGCATTGTTTAGTCATTCAATGGATCCTGCGGAAAATCAATAGGTAGCTGTGCTCATATTGACTATTTTGGTGAAGGCATTTAACAAATTGACGTTTTCAGCCTCCATGATGGGAGGAATTTCTGTCCATTTGAGCTTGTTTTTCTTTCTCTTATGGACTTTTCTTTACAGTAATGTTTTGTTTTTTTTAATGCTGCAAAACATTTTTAAATTGATATAGAGATGAACGTTATCTATTCAACATAGATGAGAAGAAGATTGATGGATAAGAAAAGACGGTTTATCTGGTGTTAAAAGTAAAAATAGTTTCTCTAAAGTTCTGTCCTTCCGCTATAAGGTCAAAGCTCAACATGGACGACTCCTGCAGATTTCTGCCTTTTCTAACTCCCCGATTACCATCCTGTAAATGCAGGGTCGGCTCTTTCTCATAACACTGCATTGTGGGCTTAGACAAAGTGATTTAAAAGTCAGACATTTCTCTGACCACAATATCAGTTTTATGCTAAATAAGGACTCTTATGCGCAGATGAGCTGATTTTTTAATTGTTCTTCCGTGCTGGCCATGATCTTACTGTGATTCTTTTTTCTGCAGTTAAGAACCGTCAGCAATAAATCCTATAAACAGTCTAAAGTCAAATAGGTACAATATTTTCAGTCCAATTCTCCTGAGAAAGCCTGAGCTCAGTCAGGTTCCTGAAATATTTAAAAGGTCTTTAAAGTTTCCTTAAGATTTAGAACCACAGTGTGGGTATTTAATTAATGATGCTAGCTTGTCCTGTAAAAATGAAGACACAGCTGTTGATAATGACACTACAACTAGACAACCCCCACCACCACCAAAAAAAAACACAAAAAAAAAACACACACACAATAACATTTGATGGTAAAAAATCCAGTCAAAATCCTGTGCAAGATAATAAATGGAGAATGTAAAATGGACCAATAGAGATCGGATTTTTTTTTAAAGTCAAAGTCCCGCCCCCTTGATAGTCGCCCAATCGAATTCACTTTATTCACTGGTGTAAAGTCGGGCAGCACTCGGGAGAATTCGGTGATGCAACAGTTGGAACAGTCGCTTACCTACGACTTTAAAAAGTATTCAGTCATAAACAATATCCCATCGTCTTGGTGATCTTCTCCTTTATTGTCTCCTGCCTCCTTTCCTCCTTTATCATGTCTGTTTACTTTCCCCATCCCTTCATTCCTTTCCTTCTGCCGTTCTTTATTCCTTGTGTCCTTACCTTTATCCCTCCTTTAGTCTCTGTGATGCTTATAATGACTGTTTTTAATCTCTTTATCAAAATGGGATCATAACAATGATTAGTCTAAAAAGTGTTAACCTCATTTTAATCCCAGTCTGCTGATCTAAAAGATGTTTATCATCGTAGGGATTTACTGTGTCTCTGTTCTTTCTCTCCACAAGTGAGCAGCGTGGTGTGTCCGGGTCGGACTACCCCCGCCGGTTGCAGTGCCATCCTGTCAGAACCATGAGTCTGTGTGGGGCCGGGGCCGGGGCTAACGGTGGGGCCAATGGTGGGGCCAATGGTGGGAGCAGAGAAAGAGGAGGAGGAGGAGAGCATTTTAGGGAACAGCGTCGCCGCTCCAGCGATCGCTCTCGGGACTCATCGCATGAGAGAGGGGAGAGCCAGCTCACGCCATGCATCAGGAACATCACCTCTCCGACGCGACAGCACGGTAACAATGACATTCAAATGAAACTGAAACATCCTGAAATATTTAATCAAAACTGATTTCTCCTATCATTATCACTTTAACTTCTGCAGATCGCGAGCGCAGTGAAGGAGGCTCCTCCTCCAGATCGTCCAGCCCACGTCCTCCGAGAGTTTCTCATTCGTATTCACATATAGGTCTGATTGGTGGGCAGATACCGCGACCGCTGGGGCCCCCCGGGGTAAACCACCACTCCAAAATCTTAGGCCAAGGGCCCTGCGACATGATCTATGTGTACGACATTGGTAGCAAAGAGCACCGCAGTGGTCTGCGACCAGGAGAGAGAGTCACGCTCATCGTGGACAACACCAGATTCGTGGTGGATCCTGCCATCTTTACAGCTCAACCCAACACCATGCTGGGCAGGTAAAAAGCTACAAGGACTAGTCTGTTTGAAAACACAGAGCTGCACCTAAAAACTGAAACAGGAAATACACACATTTGTCATTAAAGGACTTTATTGACGTGTTTTTCATTGAGCATTAAATGAAAAGATGAGTTAATTTTAATGCTCAGTGATGAGATCTGTTTTTTTTTAGATTATAAGATTAGGTTAAATGGACTTTAACACTTTATTATGTCAGCAAAGATTGTATAAAGATTAAAATACCGATTTTTCTAAAAATGTAATCTTCATAAACGGGAAATCCGATTAATCAATAAAATTGATTAATCGTCCAGCCCTAAAATCAAGCTTAGCGAAGTCTAAAACTCTGAAACACTGAAAGATGTAATGCTGCTGACAAATCCTTATCATTCTGACTCCAGAGTTTTTTAATTGTGCAAGTCCAGCTTTGATCTGCAAAAATGTGAGTCATTTAACAATAGCTGTGTCTGTGTCCAGTCTTATAGTTCATAAAAATAATCAATGTCAGCCTGAAACTAATGACAAGAGATCGACCAATACAGCTTTTTTAAGGCCCATATTGATAATCCCATGATAACAAATGTTACAGAAATCTCAGTTTAAACACAAATTAATGCTCGGATTGGCTAATACCATCACAAGGAAAAACAGGAATGAAAAATACCTAATGGTCACATGTTACTGGCTGCCGTTAGCCTCGGAGGTCCGCTGGTTGCCATGGTCCTCTCAACTTCGGAAATGTTTTTTTAAATGACGCATTAAATCGGTAAATGGACCATATAGTGAGGCTTTAAAGTATAATATTCTTGCCTCAAATGATCTTAAAACAAACTTTTATTGAACCACAGCATCAGTAAGGAGAACTTTTAACTTAATGCTCTGTGTGCGCTCCATTCTGAGCTGCTGCTGCCGCAGTGCATGCTGGGACAGCTGTCAATCTCAAGAACGGACAAGTCTGCTCTGATGCATGCTGGGTAAATAGGGAGGGGCGAGAACAACATCCGGGGACTTCCGTTCTCGGTCTGCTGTTCTTGTGAATTGGAACAGTACTAGTGCTGAGGCTGCTGACGTTTCACGAGGACATGAGAACGCACAAGTACACATATTGGGAAACAGCCATTGTCTGCCTATACAAATGGGAGCAAAATCCATTTGATTTTGAGAAAATACGGTTATATACACCGAGCATCCGTCCTGATAATGTAGAGATTATCCTTTAAGAGCCTTAATAAAGCATTAGCCTTGTTAATGCAGTTTGCCAAGCCTTCTTGCTAAACCAGGTCCTAGAAAAGGATGGTTCTTGCACCATGTCTGTCTCTCTCTCCAATGTGTCTCCAACTCCCGCGACTCGATCACCCGCAAAATGTCTGCCCTGTGGTGGGAGGGGGTGAGCAAATACACTACCTGTCAGCGGAGTTACGCCCGAGCTCTCCTATACCTTTGTATTGCAGAGGAACGAATGGGCATAGACAACTTTTAACGAGAGTCTATGGGCAAACAGTTTTGCTCCCTACGGCGGAAATACATCCTCAATCTGACGAACAATTGAATTACGCTTTATTAGTCAACTAATAATGTATTTCAAAAAATTTTAAATGTTAATTTAAGGGCAGTGGTTAGCGCACACGACCCAGTTATGGAGGCCTTAGTCCTCGCCACAGGCGACCCAAGTTCGCTTCCGACCTGTGGTGCTGTGGTGGTCCCTTATGTAAAAATATATATATTTTTTATGTCTTAATCATGGTCATTGGGTGGGTGGGCGCCCTCTATTGGCCAGTCGCTACTGGTACTAGGATTAGACAACATCTCATCGATTTTTATAAATTCATTACATTTTTTTAGTTTTCATTCTTTGGGCTTCCGTAGCTCAGACTGACATCAACTCATCATTTTTGCTCTTAATGTCCGCTCATAACTGATGAACTAGCTCACTGAGTGATACCACCAGCTGCTAACATTTATTTATAAAACCTTTTTCACAGCTTGTATTTCGTTGCCCTTTTAATTAATACAGTGTGAGCTGTTGCTGCGTGCAACGATTGAAAAAATTGCACAGTGTACACCCTTAACAAGTTGAGAAAAACAAAGCTTAAAACACAAAAATAACAACTAAAACTCCAGCAGTCATTTTTGAGAAAACCTTTGTATGAAGAGATGCAGTTATACTGGCGTATAAATTTGAAATGTCTTAAAATGCAACTATGCACCTTTAAAAGTGCAAAAGCGCACTTCTAGTCTCTGTTTATATTGGGTCAGCTTGATTGAATTTTAGCTTCTTTTTTTTTTTTTAGTGTGTATAAATAGTTTGCCTGGATTGCTGCTCATGTCTTTTGTTTTTATTGGTCCCCAGTTTGATGTAAGCTGCAGGATTTATTTTTTGCTTAGATACATTTTAAACAGGAGGCCCCAGAGGAGTCCAGCTTGTCCTTCTGTATTACAGCCTTAACGTGGGGTATGCACCTCTACTTGTCCTAATAAAGTCACTTAGCTGATTTTCTAAAATCACAAAAAACATTCTCATTGGAAAAAGTGGAATCTAACTAAACAAACTAATTTGCACTTCATGCAGAGAATAACAGGCTGCGGTTTTATATAAGCATAACTTGGTGAAGCTGTGATCCGATTGGTCTGTCCCTAATAGTCATAACTAACGAATCTGAATAGTATCAGTGTTTTATGAATCAAGCTAATACTGTTTAATACTTGGGGGAGTGTTGGTCCAGTGGTTAGAGCAGTGCGTCTGTGCTCATAGAAGGTTGCAGGTACCTGGTTCGAACCCCAATGCCTCCACTCTGGGTTCCTGAGCAAGACCCTTAACCCCACACTGCTCCCCAAGGATGGGTTTAAATATAGAGTGAATCTCGCCATAGTGGGACTATAAACTATGTGTCTGTGTTTTCAGGATGTTTGGTTCCTGTCGGGAAAACAATTTCACTCGGCCCAACGAGAAAGGAGAGTTTGAGGTGGCCGATGGCATCAGCTCCACGGTGTTCCGAGCCATCCTGGTGAGATTCCAAGGACACCCGTCTTTCTCTGCCTCACTTTTATTTTACCCTTATCTCCTACTTGTCCTCACTTTCTTTTTATTTTCCTATACCTAAATATTTCTGTTTCATGTCTTACTTTTAGTCAGTTTTTTTCTCCTTGTTTCTTCTCCTTTCTCTGTCCCGTCATCTGCTGTTTCCTGCATCCCCAGCATTTTTTCTTTCTCAACTTCTCCTAAAAGTTTCTTAACTCTTAATGTTTTCCCTTTTCTCCTTTGGGGAACATTGAGTTCCAACTTGTTCTGCTGCCCGATTCTCATGTTTTATTCACTTAAATTACATCCCTGTAAATCCATCCATTCCTTCTATGCAGCTCAGTGGTCAGTATAAAAATATATTTCATGTTAAGAGCAGCCAATTTGGTTTGACTGTATGCAGTAAAAAAAGTTTTTTTTAAAAGATTTATATCCTTTCTCATTTGTTTCTTTTTTTCTTCTTCTTCTTGTTGAATATTCTGTTTACAGAATTGTCAAATTTTAAACACATTTGAACGTCAGGTTGATGAGTGACTGTTAAACCAGGGTTTCTGCTGGCCATTAAAAATCATTAAGTCATTAAATTATTACTTTTTAAATTAAGGCCTTAATTGGCATTAAAATTCATTCAATGTGATTGTCATGGCATTTAAAATCTTTATAAAAAAAAAAAAACGTTTATAAAAACAATTTTGTCAGATATATAAGATTGAACTGATTCCGCATTTTTTACGCGGAACTGCTTCCCGTTGATCGTAAAGCCGAATGTTTGGAAAGGAAGCTCAAGGCCGAGAAAAAGCTAGAGAATGGGAAAATGCTAATTTAAACAAAAGTGGCTGGAAAAACAGGAATTCGAGACATGGTGCCTGTTGACAGGGAAGATGACAAAGGATTATGCCGTGTTATTTTTATATATGTATGTATATATATATATATATATACATACACATAAAAGCATTAAAAAGCATTAAGTTAGTTACTCATTCCTGTATAAACCCTGTAAACAGTTTCCTTGGTCTATAACAACAAAAACAAAACAAAACAAAAAAAACAATCAGAAATAAATATGTATTTGAAGATCTGAACCACAATATTAGCTTTTATTTTCAGTAGCTTTTGGTCGTAAATCTGAAGACATTTTTAGTCTCAGAAAGCTGCCCACTGCTGTGCCAAAAGCCTTGGAGAAAAAAAAAAAGCCTCTGATTGTGTGTATAAATCCTTTAATGAAAAAAGTTCAAGTTCCAGATAATTTCTGATTCCAGGAATACAGATGAACATACCAGCTATGATGTCAAAACGTGTTTTCTGCAGGTTTTGAACTCATTTGAACCCATCTTTGCAGAGTTGATGTAATTCAGCCACATTGAAGGCTTTTTAAGCAAGATCTGAACTTTGACTAGGCGACTCCGAGGTCTTTTTTTTTTTCTTCAGTCATTCAGAGGAGGACTTGCTGGTGTGTTTTGGATCCTTGTTCTGCAGCAGATGCCAGGTGTGTTTCAGCCTGAGGTCATAAGTGTCTTCCCAGACCGTGAAGCACCAAAACTGCCTCAGACTGTCACATGATAACCTCCGTATTTTGCTCTTGGTGCGGTGCAGGTTACTCTGGGGTGATATTAACATTATCCAATCTTAATATTGCCATGATGACTTTTATATGGCTATCTTTTATAAAGTATTTCTCTACCCTTTGAAAACAAAACAAAAAAAAAACTCAATGCTGAAATTACTTCTCTGCTTCAGTTAAATAACAACAATCCTGATCCCCACTCCCTCCTGAAATAAAACTGCAACTACGCAGACATAAATATCAGTCCAGTTTTACTTTTCTGGCCAATACTGATATTCCTAATATGAATATTGGCATCGATATCAATAATAATGTCGTGCATCCCTCATTTTGTCCTAATAATAAACAGTGAATTGAGGCCTGCAGTACTTAGATGTTCTCAAGTCTCTTGTGATCTATAGGAGATGCCAACACTGCCCTGGAGTTCTTTGCTTAGCTAGCTGTTGCTAGGCAACATCCCTGTACTATGTTTTCTCCATTTGTTCCGACTGTTTTCTGCTAAAGTACAACAGTTAGAATGCACAAAATTATATGTAAAACCTAGCCAATATTTGCTTGAAATCTAAATATTGGACATCAAGCATTCCACCGACATTTGGTCGAGGGTGAGGAAGGTGAACAAAAAAAACAGCTTCAGCCACCGTTCCAGATTTCTCTGTTGTCTTTTATTCAGTACTTTTCATTCTGACAACCATTCCTGAGCTTCCAAGACCTCTGTGCTTATATAACCAATTGGCAACACACCTGCACTTGAGTGGACCAAGCCACAAGTAAACAGGTAGAAAAAAACAACAACATCTAAACAGAGAAACAAGAATAAAATTATGAATCTTAATTTACAAACTAATCTACATAATGAAAGAGTCTGCAACATAAACAATGTGATACAAGATGACTCAGAAAGTTACAGAAAAACAAACAAAGCATAACTCCAAAGAAACCCTCTAAATGGTAGAACCCAGCAAGGTAATCAATGACATCATCTAGCTAATTTAGCAGGAAATACTTGGACAAACAATGGTGAGTAAAAAGGAAAACAAATACCATAAATACACTTTGAAACAAAATACACAATATCAACCAATAATCTAGATATAATAACTTCAACCCAAACATATAGATGGAAACTGCAACATAAAGTTGCAAACTAATGTTTAAATGTAAGCATTACAAATCAGAATAAAGACTAAGGGACAAGTGGTGAACACCATTTGTCACACTCGTGTGCAGCGCCTATAGGTTACCCACCTGATTCATGCCTCTTACACAGGAGACACGCTGAAGCAAAAAATGCTGGTTAGATAGACATTTTTAAAGTTTTAGAGACAGATAGCTAAACCGTTATTTACAATAAATGCACGGAACAGGAGGGAAAAAATACACAGTAATTGTGGAGAAAAAGATCATAGGGTCGTCCATTTGAGCTTAAACATATCAGATTTTGGCCAAAATTTAAAAAACAATCAATTATCTCTATGATGTGTATCCATTTCCATTCTTTCTCATTTATCATGTGGTTTATTTAGGGGAAGGTTAGTAGCTCTGAGTTATTTTAGCTTACTTCATGTTGGTAAACAGGTTATCTGAAAATGAATGAAGCTTATAAAGCCAACACATCATCAGCGGGACTTTTACAGACTGATTTTTAGTATTTCTAAACTTAAGACTTTAGCAAACGTAATAAGAAAATTTGCTCATAATTTCTATTTTTTTAGCAAACATAATCTAGATAATTCAAACTGAACTGACACTTAAAAGGTTCATTTCGTATTATTTTCAGCCTGAAGGGGAAAATATGTTTTTAAAAAACAATGTTTAGAAAAATCAGCCTTCAACAGTAGAGATGGAAGGAAAATACTGAGGGAGGATAGCGAGTGAGGCAGAACAGGAAGTGGGTGGAGCCAAAGGTTTGTGTCCGTTGTGACCGAGGAGTCTCCTCTGGTTTCCATCAGTAGAAACTCCTGGGAAAGTGTCGCTGTGAGAGCAGGAAGGGACAGTGACGTCAGCAGCTTCATGTGTCCTCTCCTTTCTCTCTCTCTCTGTGACGTCGCTTTTTTTTTTATCAGTTGCTCTCCATCCCTCCCTCTTATCTCCTCCTCCTCCTCTCTCTGTGAGGAAGCATTAATAATGGCGGTTTGTTTTCCCTCCTCTGCTCGTGTGCACGCCTGACTGTCCTCCTCACTGCGTGCTGTTATGTCTGTGCGCGTGCTTGCACTGGTGAAAATGGCAGGATTACTACAAGTCGGGGATAATCCGCTGCCCTGACGGCGTTTCCATTCCCGAGCTGAGAGAGGCATGTGACTACCTCTGCATCTCCTTCAACTACAGCACCATCAAGTGCAGAGATCTCAGTGAGTACACCAACTCCTCAACCTGCTCTTTCAGTTCTTCCAATGTGTGAAGCCGCCGAGTGATGTGCTTCCCGTTTCTGTTCGTGTGCAGTTAGGTGAGTCTCTGCTTTTTGCGGTCGTGGTTCAAAATAAAATTTCATAACTTTATCACAGATTAGTGTCAGACTCACAATTTAGGAGAATTTAACGTGAGTTTTATGTTTAAATATTTGAATTAACCAAGTTTGTTCCTTGTTTGTGTTTACAAACCTGGCCAGTGAAGCCAATTCTTCTCAGAGTTTTAAAACCTTTTGCATCACCAGCCTTGATAAAGATCCTCCAGATGTAAAGGAGAAACAGTTTTGCTTAAATGCTGCCTGCCTTTGTGCACATTTGATGCAGCTGCACGGAGCTGTCAGTGGGATGTTTTTAATGAGTCGGTGCCCCTTGTTTTTTGTTCGAGTATGCAGGAGGAGGAGCTTCTGCTCTCTGCTGCTGTTTCCGCGCCTCTAAGTAGGTCATGATTAGCTGTGAGATTTACTGCTGGTTATGTGGGTAAAAAACAGAACAAGCTGCAGATTTGATTTATCCCCAAAAGGGTCCTGTCATGACTTCTTGGTTTACGCTGTGGTTATAATTGATGTCATTGACATTAGATGCTCATCTGAGTATTGGGTTTATGTTAGAAAACTTTTGCTTTTGAGACATCACTGCAAAGTGATTGAGCAAAATATATCATAAAATACAGAAATGGGAATGACCAACAAGATATGTAATTTAAAAATGTAATGATCATTCTAATATTTATTTTCTTATTTTTATCAATGATTATACAATTAAATTGTAAAATGCACAATTAGATATTTTAAATGTTTAATTCAAAATACATTTAAAATGATACTAAATAATGTTATTTGGAAATAAAGTAATTTTTAGATCATTAAAAGTGCTTTATATGTATAAATAACTGTTTCGGTATTCATTGTTTTTCTGGTTTGTGTGTCAACTATCACGGTTGCTAAGCAACAGAGTGTACGGCGGTAAAAGCCAACGAAGGCTAGCCCTTCTTGAATTCACAGCCAAAACTCTTCCGGTCGTCTTATTTTGAAGGACTTTAAAGGATCCAGTCCAGGTAGAGCGCGTCCTTGGAAGACGCAGCCCATGAATTCGAACAGAGCCCATATCTGGGAGAAAGATCAAAGACAGGACTAATGAGCTGATTGGAAGCAGGTGCGAACAGAGGAGTGTAGAAAGGAGCCCAACACAAGAGGGCAATAGAGGGCAATCAAGAAATATCTAAGAACTCAAATATATCCAGAAAACACCACAAAATAGGAATTAAACCAATAAAACTAGAAAACAAAGAAAAACTAAAAGCTCAAAAGAAAACTTAAACAGAACCAAAACCATGACAGAAGTAATATCTGTGTTTAGGAGATTACCTGTAAGTTGTATTTTAATTTTTCTTCCTCCATGTGCATGACAAAAATCACACAATGATAGCTAATGTTACACAAGTCTTAATTTAAACAGAAAAACTACAATTAAAATGTTAACAATAGAGTGCGAATGCACACGCTTCACATGATCTAAAAACACGGCTGGTGAATGCATTAATGAGTCCA